GGCGGCGGCGGCGGCGGCGGCGTTAATAATAATATTAGTGTGCACACAGGACTAGGTGCAAGGCTCTCTGCCTATAGCTAGACCGACCGCCGCTTTACTAAATAGGAATCTTCCGAGGCCGGTTTTAAGGTGTGGACCAGCACTTATATAAAGGGGGTACTTATATTAGTAGATAAGCTATACTTCCGCTTATATATTACTATACTAACTCTATTATAAGGTGCGTTCTACTCTAAAAAACTATTTTTAAAGGGCGTTAAAAATAGGTTTTTTAAGTCTACAGGAGGATTACTTACTATTATACACGTTTTCTATAGAAAATATACGTATACTAGCTATATCTAAGTTATTCTAATATTTTTACTACAGGCTACTAAATCGGATATTATCTATATTATAGCTTACTTCGGCTGCGTTATCGTCTAGAAATTCTGTTATTAATTAGCAAATTAGTACTATAACGCTATTAATATACCTACTTATATAACTTCCCTTAAATAACTAACCTATAGTTAAGTTTATTTTTTTAATAGTTATAGTCTAGAAAAACTCTTCTTAGCCAGGCTGCTAGCTCTATAGCATCTGCAGAGAAAGAATAGTACTAAGGTCTTTTTTACTATCTATATATATATTAGCCGGGATCTATTAGCTTATATAGTTAAAAAGTAGGAAATACCCGGATATAGTAAACCTAAAGGACTAGTAGCTTCTACTATAGCTAGTAGTCCCGGATTTAGAAAACGTAACGTATTAAAGGCTAGTAGATTAGTTAGAAAGTTATTAATATTAGCCTACTCTCTATTATATCCGTAAAAGCTATTTTTATAAAGGTTATATTTTATTATATTAGATATATTTTTAGGATTAGGCTTAGGCTTAGATTTTTTTTTATATCCGAGTTCTAAAAAATTAAAAGGAATATATTATATAGAATGCGAAGTAGCTAGTAGAAAAGTGCTAATAGTAGCTATTATAATAAGGTTTACTAGGCTTTCTAGCTTAGGAAATAGAGCTATATCTAAAGGTTTATATATATAGTTATCCCTCTAAGCTAATAGCTATTACTTAGCGTACTATTACCGGAAATACCTTCTAAAACAGGCTTATATAAAGTTTATATAAATACCGCACCCTAGTATAAAGGCTTAGTCGAAAAAAAAGGTAGAAATAGTAGTATCGACTTATTTATCGCTTTTAGTGTTTTTAAAATAATTCTAGGAAATAAGGTAATATTAAAATAATATATAAATAACCTATTTTTGCCGGCAGTAGCCTATACTAGTTAGATAGTTAGTTTAGAGAACTCCGTTTATATTTTACAGCCTTACCTAACGCCGTTACTTTGCTATTAGCTGCTAACTTCTAAATACTAGCTCCCTACTAGTTATATTAAGATATTACAACTATATTAAACGCTTTATATAAGGCGGAGCATTCTGCAGGGGCTATTATAGTAATATAAAGGTTATAAGAATAAAATTAATGCCTTACGCCTTATATAAGTGCTTTACCGCGTTATTTCTAATAGATTTAGGCCCTAGTAAAACGCGGATAATAGAGCGCAAATTAGCTAGAGTATTCTACTAAAGAACTAAAGTTAGAGAATATAAGGCCGGATAACTAAAGCTAAGATAATAGTATAAGCGCTATTTACTAAAGTGTTTTATTCCGGCTAGAATAGGATATAGAAAGGGCTATATTTATCTCTTACGGCCTATACTAATAGTAACGCTAAGCCGTTAGCTATAAGCTTCTAGACACCTACCGCCTGCTTACTATACTGTAATATTATAGCTATAGTAGATATATTATATAAGGTAGAGTATTCTAAAACTATAAAGGCGAAACTAATCCTTATATAAGTAACTAACCACGTTATTATTAAAAGATCTAGTCTAAACGTGTGTTACGATAGCGCTACACGCGAGAGGTCGAGGGCTTAAAGAGGAGCGTTGATTAGGTGCTATGTACAATGCTACGTGGAGAATTAAGACGTTGTGTAAGGAACAGGAAGACGGGAGACGGGCCACCGGATATAAGGGCGTGGCCGAGCGCGTGGCGTACGGCCTCTATGCCGTTTCGGCGCGTGGCACGCGTGTACGCGAGGTCCTTACCAGATCAGGTGATAGGAAAAGGGGGCAGCCGGTAGGTGGCTGGAGCGGGACAGGATAGGAAGCGGAAGCGAGACGGGAGCGGAGCAGGGTAGGCAGGGCAGGAGGCCGGCCAACGGTAGTAGGCCGGTGCAGATTGCTGGAGTTGTAGCAATCTGCGGCAGAATTTCGGTAGGTAGGGTGTCGCGGTCGATACCGTGACAACGTGGCACAGGTAACGGACTAGATTAGTAAGTATATTCGGCCGAAGGAGCAGGGTGCAAGAGGCGGAGTAATTAGAGCTAAGACAATAGTATAAAAACTATATAACCTGCTTTTAACTAAGTTATATATAAGCTACTAATACCTCGGCAATCTAGAAGAAAAGTAGGGGGATAGGCTAATTAGTTATATAGTAAGGCGTGTAATAGATAGGGTGTATTTCTCCTTTAACCGCAGATATAGCTTCGGGCAAGAAAAGCGTAAAATTTAAGGAATTAGAACTAGAAAGAGAGAAAGGAAGGCGTTTTGCTCGTGGATTTATTACAGGTAGAAGTCTAGAAGTACTAGAGCAGGGGCTTAGCGTATATAAAAGCTAAGATAACCAGGCTGTATAGAACGGGTATAACAGCGACGACGGAGTAATAAAAGGAGAATTAGATAGCTATAGCAAAGCTAGTCCAACTCTACTAAGCGGGCGGCTAGGTTTAAGAAAAATACCTTATAACGGATAGTTAGGTAAGGGGCAGTTGGCGAAGCCGAAGGCTATATAGAGGGATATTACGGATAAAGGGATAGGAGTAGAGAGAAAAGAATAAGAAGAAAAAGGGAAAATAACGGCGAAGGAAGGGCCTTTTATAGTAGACGTTAAGGTCGATTACCGGGTCGGGCGTAGCGCGAAAGACCGTAAGCGAGGCGCGGATTACCTAAACAGGGTGCATCTATTTCCTAATATAGGCCTGCCGTCTAATTATTTACTAAAAAAAAGTTTAATACTAGTAAATTAGAATATTATACTTTTCTTCTATTACTAAAAAAACTCCGCTAATACTTATATAGAATAGCCTTTACTATAGAAACCGATATATAAATATTAGTAGTATAGTTAAATAGAGCTATAATAGACTTACTAAGTATACTAATAATAAAGTAGCTAGTATAAATATAGCTATAGGATTTTAAAGTCCGCTATATACTAGGAAAAAAAAATAGAGCTATAGATAGGCTATTATAACGGCCTTTAAATAATAATAAGGTTCTTACTAAGCTATATAAAAATATTAACGCCTTTATTAACGCTAAAATTAAAGTAGTAAGCTATAGTACTACGCCTGCAGTAAGGGTAAAAAGGGTAGACGTAATAGTAGAAGGATTTAATATACTGCTAGAAAATAGCTACTCTAAAAAATTCTAGCGTATTATAATATAGCTAATAACTATATATTAGCCGGAGGGAATAAAGCGTAAAAAATACTACTTATTTAAGAAAAACGCTTACCGTTTTATAGTTTATAAGCGCTACCTTTTTTAGTATTAATTAAAGAATATTCTAATATAATAGGTTATTAACAATTCTAACCTTTACTATAAAACTATCCGGAGCCTCTATAATAACAGGTTTTATTACGGCCGGAAGGAAACCTACTAGCAGATTTTCTAGAAGTACTAGTAGCTAAACCTATAGAAAAATATATATAGCTATATTACTAGCTATATAAAATACTAGCTATAAGTATCTAACTATATATAGAAAGCTTTATACCTAATATAGAAAAGTATACTATAGAAATAGGTATCTATTAATATTATTAAGCTCCCTATATCTAGAAAATACTAGTTTATTATTATTACCCGCAAATATATTTCTAAATAGGTAGAGGTATAGGTATTATAAAGGGCTAATTTAAAATCTATTATAAAGTTCCTATATAAGGATATTATTAGCCGCTATAGGCTTATAGGGCGCCTAAGCGTTAATAGCAGAGGTAAGAATATAGGAGAAGTGCTTAATATACTTATACTATATAGCGTAAAGCGCGTTTAGGCTTCTACCTACTATCTAGAAGCTTAAAAACTTATTAAATAAGGCTACTGGCCTATTTTAGATACTTTTATAAAGCTGCCTAGGAACTAAATAAAGAACCTATTTATAGTTCTATAGGCTAACTAATCTATAGTCTATATTAGTACTAGTATAATACCCGTAAAAATAATATTCGGGCAGGAGTATATCCTTCTAATTAACCTTACTATTTTAATATAGCAGGCGCTGCTATAGAAATCTATTTATATAATAGCTAAACTTCTAGAGCTGCACGCCTGCTAGCTATAGTAATAGAAAAAGGATATTAAAAAGGTAGTAGCGCGGATAATTTATTACCGGCTAAATAATAAAAAGGAGTTTAATAGCTATAAGTAAGTTAGGGAGACAGGCTATAAAATTAGCAACCTAGTACTTTTCTAGAATAGTAAGTAGAAAAGAAATATAAGCCGCGTAAAAAAGCTAAGGCTTTACTAGCTAGGTCTATTCTAGATTTAAAATAGGATAGTAATAGGATTATACTAGCTAAAGGAGCTTAATAGTGCTATATTCTATTAATACACGCTAAGCAGCCGCCTTAAGCTTTTTATTTAATAGGATCTAGCTAACCTACTACTAAAAAATCGGCTAGAAAGTATAAATAGTATATAGAATAATACCGCTTAACTAGAGATATAGTAGGATCTACTAGCTAATACTACTATATAGCCGCGGAGTATTTTAGAAATAAAGCCTCTACTATTAAAAATAATAATAGATAGGCTAAATATAAAACTAAAATATTTAGTATACCTATAGCTAGAAGTATATATTATAGTACTACCTTTACTTAACCGGGAAAAGTACTAGTGCTTTAATAATAATAAAACACCTATTAATATACTACCTAAACGCTAGCGTATTAAAGTTTATATTATTCCGCCTTTTTAGTTTAACCGCAATAATTATAAATAATTTAATAATAAAAGCCTTATTAATTTCTTTTCCTAGTATATACGCATGCTTATAGCTTATAGTTCTAATATAGATATTTAATTAAGGGATAATTTTATAGGTAGAAAGGAATACTACGCGCCTATACCTAGTATATTAGGCACCGCAAGCCCGACAAGCAGCCTGTACGAGGCGGTGCTACGAACCTGCTCCTACATTGTAGTGAGCAGAGCAGATGCTTGAGGCACGATGGAGCTGGTAATGGCGTTGTGGCCGTTCGAAGGCCCTCCACCGGACGACGACAACAACGAACCGCATCACCAGAACAGAGGAACAACCATCAAAATGGGTATGAAAACCATCCGACGTATGTCTACTTGTGTAGGAAGCAAGCCGAACGTGGAGCCGATGCCTAGGCGTACGATAGGACACCTCTGGGGTGGCGATGCAGAGTTTTCACCCTCCCCTCTATCGAAGCTCTCGTTAACTGATGGTGTCTACAGTGCCTACAGCGTCACCAAAGTCATTGGCGGTCAATTGGAGGACCTCAAACAGCGTGGTGCTCGCAGCCTTTGCCTAGGGGACAGCATTCTCATGGCGGTCAAGTGGAGGACCTTAAACAGCGTGGTGCTCGCAGCCATCGACAATGCCTGTAGGCGCCCATCGGCACGCGAGGAAGCCCAAAGCTCCTGAAGGGAGATGGTCACAGCCAGCATGGTGGGGGTAAT